CCCCCCCCCCCCCCCCCCCTTTTTTTCTCGTTTATTATTGTTTCATGTTTAGGAGCCTCACAGATTTTTGGGTTTCAGATATGAGGATTCAATTTCTTGTTTTCATTAATGGGTTTTATGCTCGATTCAATTTAATCAATCAGATGCTAGAAATTTATTCTTGGGTTTCTTAAGTTGGGTTCCCAGATCCACTTGCACTTCTTGTTTTCCTCTTTTTTGTCCTTTCACTAAGCATATGGATTGTTTTGTTTTCTTATTCATTGGGTGGTGATGGAACAATTATTTCAGTAACATATGAAGGGATTTTCAATTGACCTTAGCCTTGGCAAGGTATGCCCTTTTGTTCCATGGATCCTTAACCAAAAAAGTTTTTTTTTTTTCACTGTTCGATTGTAGATCTTTTGTGGGTTTAATTTGGGGACTCACTAGAGGATGACAAAAATATAAAAATAGGGCTTCTTGGAGTTCATGGGTTTGTGTTTACTCTTCTGTAGTTATTGTGTTCTTGACAAGGTATGAGATTAGGATTATTTTGAAACTACTTCTCATAAGTGCAGCTGAGTGACAATCATTTTCCCTTTTCTCCTTTACTGCCATACAACTTCTCATAATCATTTACTATCAGATAGTCTTCATTCAGAACATTTTTGTGTATTCATTTAATCCACTGTATGCCTAACCTCTGATCTGACCATTCTCACAGGGATGCAAGCCACCCCCGACTGAGCTTGCAGGCAGTTTAAGGAACATCAGTGCATGTTCATCTCTCCTACCAAGCCCTCAATCTTCATCCTTCCCTAGTCCAATACCTTCTTACCATGCCAGCCCAACATCATCCTCATTCCCAAGCCCCACTCGTTATGATGGAAACCCCTCGTCATACATCATCCCTTTCCTACACAACTTAGCCTCCATTCCATCTTCACTGCCCCCTCTTCGTATATCAAACAGTGCCCCAGTTACCCCTCCACTTTCTTCACCTACCTCCAGAAACTCTAAGCGAAAACCCGATTGGGAATCCCTTTGCAGAGGCTCATTGCATTCTTTCCACCACCCTTTTTTAGCTGCCTCTGCCCCAGCTAGTCCTACTCGCCGCCAACAATTTACACCTGCCACAATTCCAGAATGTGATGAGTCCGATGGCGATGTGTCCACCATTGATTCAATTCGCTGGGTCAGTTTCCCAACAGTTGCACCTCCTGTTGCTCCAGCTTCGCCTACATTTAATCTTGTAAAACCTGTGGCGCAGCAGAGTTACCTGCAGGATGCAGTTGATGGCCATGGAGACCTTAACTGGGGAGCAACCCCACAAAGGGGTCGGGGCTCTGAATTTGAGTTTGAGAGTGGCACAGTGAAAGCATGGGAGGGTGAAAGAATACATGAAGTTGGGGTGGATGATCTTGAGCTTACACTTGGGAGTGGGAAGGTCCGTAGTTAAGCTTCTTCCATTGATATAGTTAGACATGGAACATTCAAATTCTGAAAATTGTTCCGTGGTACTTTTCAATGGTCGCTCGTATTGAGTGACTTGAGCACAGCAAATTTATGGGGTTTCCTATGATTTCTACTACTCTCTGGGAGACACCCTGCTTTCAAAAATGGTGCATTCTATCTCTTCCTTCAATTGTACAGCTTTCCCTCTCATGGAGCCATGGCAGGAACTAAAAGCAACGACTCTCAGTTGGTAAACAGCAGATTTTGAAGGCCTGCTATATCACAAGGACTGCAGTTCTCAGTCTTCATGGCATAGGGAAGACCGAAGCGAGTATTAGATTTCCCCCTCCCCTGTTTTATGTTTAAATCTTTTATTTGAATGCTTCATTGATCAGGGGCCTTGTTTTAGTCTGTCATTCCGGTGGTCTCACAAGACTTCAATGATTGAAGTTGTGTGCTTTTCTTCTTATCATATAAGATTTTCCTTCTATTGTAGACAATGTGAAGCAGCACAAACTCAAACCATTCGTAGTGAATTTAATGGTTTATCAATGGATCTTTCTTTCTGTGTTCCCTTTTCTGTGTTCCCTTTCTTGCTTGAGATTGTTCTCTTTTAGCTTCAAACGTTCAGTTTTTTTTCCCTTTTATCGTTGATACTTTCAGTTCGCACAATGGATTTCATGTGGTTTTCTTTATAAGAAGACCATTTGGTATTGAATGTCAGTGTCTCTTTGATAATTTCTTTTAGTATTGCATGTTCTAAAAATTTGTAACCGTTTTGAATTCGACCTTTTTTTAACAAGTTTTTTGAAATATTGATGCAGAGAACTTGATAGAAACAAGGGTATAATGAAAAAAAAAAGAGATAATGAAATTAAACATTTGATTTATACATAAATAATGATTTATTTTCTTACTATATGTCTATTGATTCACAAAAATACTAGTTCTAAAAGTTTTTAAAAATCTCTTAATTTCTAAAGAATACTAGAAGAATTGAGAATAAAAGAGAATTCTCTCAATTTTGTTAATCAATCAAAATTAGTCCTAAAATTTACAAGAATTTATATAATAGTAAAAATTTTAAACCAAGTATAAAATTAAAAAATCGAATACAAATATAAAATAAAATAATTTTTTAATTAATCAGCATCCACCATGTTCAAATAAACTCTCAAAATTCTTGCCGGCATAAAATATCCTATGATTAATTGGGTTATGTAATCCATCAGAGTGGGTTCGCCAATTATATGGTTCATACAAGAGAGAGAGAGAGAGAGAGAGAGAGAGAGAGAGTGAATGAAAATTGGAAATCAATGTGAAAGGGACTTTCTCAAATAATGTCATTTCCTGCTGTTTTTTTCAGTGTGATTGTTATCCATATGTCATTCTCTGCTTTCTGCAATTTGTTGGGTCTCGTGGGTCAAACTGGCATCTTGGAACAAAACTTCCAAGTGGGTCTCTCCCCATGTGACATGTTTCTTTATTTCTTTCAAAACAAGGACTCCAAATATTATTTCTTGGTCCCTTTTCATGTCGCTCTCTTAACTTTCCTTATTTACACAAAATCCCCTAAACTAATGTTTTTAAACCCAAAACTAAAGGACTGAGTTAGGATAATCAGGATAAGAGTTCTACTTCTTGCTTTGAGACGTTGCTTCTCTCACGTAGTCATGTAATTGATTGGTATCTAACTTTTCGTATCTTATTTGCTACCTTGACTTCCTCTAGTAACAACGTGGGTATGTAAGAGTAGTAGTGATGAAAATGGTTTTTGTTACTGGTGCTACATGGTGGTGATGAATAGTAGTTTTGGGGTAGGCTATATGGAGAGAGAGAGAGAGAGAGATTAAATAGTGTATTATTACAAAAATTGAGTTGAAAATGAGAATGATTTGAACATTTTCACAAAAATTACAAAAATAAGACAATTACAATCTAGTCATTTGGTCAAGGAGGTCTAGTATGTTGTGTGTGTGTGAGAGAGAGAGACAAAAAAGAGGAATACTTGGGGGGGTGTCTTGTTGGTGAGCGTAAAACAGAGAGTAAAGAGCGAAAAAAGAAAGGCAAAAAAAACATAAGAAAAAGAAGAGAAGAAGAAGAAGATGAGACGGAGGCATCATGGTGGCTTCTTTGATAGTGGAGTGATGAGTGAGGGGTGAGGTGAGTGAAAAAAAGTGATAAAATTGAGGGCAAAATATGTATGAGATAAAATTCAAGTTCTTTCGTATTTTATTATATATATACATACAAATACAATCTAGTAATCAAGTACTAATAAAAATGAACTGTAAAATCAGATGTCTTGAACTCAAATCTTGACAACTCTTTAGCGTCAGGTTATTAAGAATTTATCTTTTATAAATATTTTAATTCATGTGCGAATGACTTATTTTTAACTAAATCGGAGAGGAGATTAATTAAGAACGTGTAAGTTGGCCCATTGAACCAAAAAAAAAAGAATGCAAGTTCGAGGGACTAAAATGAGACAGGTACTAAGTTTAAGGGTACTTTATAATTAAGGCTATGTTGTTATGGGGCATGTGATCTATCTCACGCTTGATGTTCGAAGGTACCAACCACTTTAATAACGTCACTTCCCAATGCTTTAGTGGGACAGACTCACCAAAATACACCTTGTTCTTTTAACAAGCTTCCTACACCTTGTGGGTCATTTTATATCTAAAAAAAAATAAAATTTATCACTTTTGTAATTAATTTATCATTTTTTGTAAATTTTTTTACCACTATTATGAATATGAATATGAATATGAATATTTTTAGTAACTGTTTTTACAACTTTTCATAGGTACAAAAAAAATTACATTTGTAAATAATTTTATCACATTTATGGATCTTTTTATCACTCTTAAAAGTATTTTTATTATTATTATGGTAACTATTTTTTATCATTTGTTTAAGTACTGTAAATATAGCAAAAGTGCCTATAAATATAATAAATTTTGATATGGCACCAGAATTCAAAATTCCGATACCATAGTCAAATTCTAGGTTCAGGGGTGCCCCTTGGTAGATTGACCAATAACGAACAACTCAGTGTACCAAACTCTTCACTATTTTGAAATTTTTAAAAGATTGTTTTCGAAATTCAAGTGACAATAAAGTAATCTATCTCTTTGCATGGGGCCTAATTTGACACTACTGGCATCAAGTTAGGCCACAGGCAGGTCCTGCAGGTACGTAGATCCCGTGCTATGGAGCTACATAAGCTTAACACACTGATTTCATCCCTACATTCACCTGTTTTTCATCATCCACATTATCTCTCATCAGCCGAATCAATGGAAAGCTCAAACTCAGGCTCACGCTGGATTGCTCGCTAGCCCTGGCATAGGTTACCTCATCCCCCTCCTCGAGCTTCAGGGTCACTGTTTTTGTCGTTGACAAATGCATCTCCGGCACAAACCCAATTTTCTCCTACATGTCATGTCGCTAGTTCAAATCTGCTTGACGTTATTAGACTCCCACGTATTTGATATATCAGGCCAAGTGAACGAGGACGATGGGCTCGCAGTCACAATGAGTGACCCCATCCCAGCGCTCCACCATTCGATATCCAACTCACCTCGTCATCGACTTCTTTGGAACCGAAGCATTTAAGGTTGCCCATCAGTTCAGTATATCTTAAGAATGTGTTTATAACCACAGCTGCATAGGTTCTTGCTCTCACTGTATATGTTCCAACACTTGATAAAGAAGTAAACGGTGAATACATTGATGTGCTTGAACCTTTAAAAATCCCGGGTTTTAACTCGGTTCATGTTTAAGACCTGTTTGACTCGATGCTAGACCGGAAAGATCAGCGGTATATTCACCTGCAACGCATGGGAATTGACTTCACGAAGAGTGATGGTGGGTTTTGCGAACACATGGGATGATCTACAGTGTCAAACACTCGATGCACTGAGAGAGGATAAGATCTTGAGTCGGGTCATGAAGGTACCCATTTACCTGCGAACAGTCCAGTTCAAAGAGCGAGTTGTTGGAGTGGCTGGACAAGCAACCTGGTTGGCTCTGTGTTGTGTGTTTCAGTTGGAAGTGGTGGGGCATTGGCTGCTAAGCAAATGACCTAGCTGGCTTGGGGATTGCAGCTGAACCAGCAGAGATTTGTTTGGGTTGTACGTCAACCCACTGAGAAAGATGCATCCTTATCTTATTCCACGGCAGGGATAGGAGGATCTGATGATCTGTTAAGTTATTTGCCCGATGGATTCATCACCAGGACCCACACAGTGGGGCTGATACACAATGGGCCCCACAAGAGGTAATCCTGAGTCATTAATCAACCAGTGGATTCTTATCACATGCTGGCTGGAACTTGGTGCTGGAAAGCTTAGTCAATGGGGGTGCCCATGATAGCATGGCCACTGTATGGGGAGCAAAAATGGTTGCCACAATCCTAACAGAAGAAGGTGGGGTGGCCATAAGACCCAAGGAGGAGTCATTGAACGAACTGATGGGGAGGGAGGAGGTGGAGAGGAAGGTCATGGAGGGTGAATGGAAACTAATGAAGGCTAGAGCCAAAGAACTACAATGCGCGCTAGCGCTAGCGCATGGAACTGCCTAATAGTATAATATGTTTCCGCACAAGTCACAATAAGAAGTTGATTTACTCGTCTAAATGCAGACATTCCTCCAAAGAAATATTTCCAGGCAACCACGAATTAAATTACTTCATGGAAAAAAAACGCGAGTATAATAAACCTAAAAAGCATCAACCAAGTTAGATCTACATGATAGTTGGGAGATAGGGAGATAAGCAACAAGTATCGTACCAAATGGAGGGAATTTGTTGAAGGTTGATGTGGGTTTCAATCTCAGAAAGATAAAAAGCCACTCAGGCACCAATGGGCACAGTTGCTTCCTTCAGCCATGCCATCTCAGTGCCATCCAAATATGGGGCTAGGACTTCCCTGCACTTGGAATGGTAGGTGTTCACCCAATCTATTTCTTCAGGTGCCAAAAGCTTCGAGTCAATTAACTTTCTCTGATATGGTGCCTGGACAAAACAAGTCACAGGATACATCAGAAGAGACACTGCAAAATTCTAGTGTCACAGGGCAAATAACTACATATTTGACATCAAAAGGAATGATCTGCTGTTCTATATACTTGAAGAAGTTAATACTTACAAAGTGGACAAAATAGAATGAAAAAACGAAAGGTAAACGGCTCATACATGTGTGCCTCTTCAAAGTAAAGCAAAATGACCTACATACGACAAATGGCGAACAAATGGGAGGAACATACATAAAAAATGACGTATACCACTATCTTTCTTTTCATTATCATGAAGCCAAGCAAACCTACATATTAACTCCTTTCATGGTATGTCAAGTATAAACATGAAAAAAAAAAAAAGAGGAGTTAAAAAGGAGGGACTTTGGGGGCAAACTTGGTGTTTATCCCACCAATGCTTGTTAATTCCTTCGGCTTTGGGAGATGGGCAGGGTACAAACTTGATTTTTGGATTATTCGCATACACTGAGTATACTCATACTAGAACCCAGATCATCTGTGTTAACTGGAGCAATGCTGCCCTTACAAAGAAAAAAGGCGAGTAGAAAAAAATCCCTATATCTACATATTAACAAACTGGGCCACTATTAGCAGTTTTGAACACTGCAATTTCCAAGTATACAGGGCCACTCTAAGAACAAGCCAGAAAATCCCTGTTTCTGAATTTCAGTTACTTTCCAGAATTTCAAGAATCATTCAACATTTTCAAATCCCATTGGTTATTTCCCTCATTGATGCGAACAATCATTCATCTGCGTAATCAATAAGCAATCATAAATGAATTTTTACATTCATATCTATGTAAATCTATACGTAGTCACAAGGCAAAACAAGTGATATATTAACCTTACCCAAGTTATGTGCTCAAAAGATAGATAACCCTTGTAACCAAAATTGAACTTTGTATCAGCGTCCTTGACTATAAGCACATTCTCCAATCTTATACCAAAATTCCCGTCTTCATAATAACCAGGTTCTGGAAAATGCAACTCCAATGTTAGATTTCCAAAAGAAAAAACACAGGGAGGAAAAAATAACTATGATCTGGCTTTAAAAAGCAGACAAGTGCAAATAAATGGCCGAAACTCTCTCCAGAACTAATAAGTTGAACATCATGAGAAAATGTGGCACAATGAAAAGTGGAACATGCCTCTGACCCATAAACCAAAGCAGTCAAAAATACGGTACTAACCATCTGTAACAGTCATCGAAGCTTGTAAAGGCACATTCTGCGCATGTGGTCTAAAACTAATTAAATGGGGTCCTGCCCAATGTACAAAGCAAGCAAATTAAAAAATGTCATTTACTGAATCACAGCAAAGTAAATCTCAGATAAGAAGGAACATTCACCCTTACCTTCATGAACATTTAAGTAAGACCCTATTCCATGACCAGTGCCATGTCTGTAATCAAGACCATCCTTCCACAGAGGAATTCGAGCAAGGATATCAAGAGCATGCCCTATAAAGAGGATTTTTTGTTATCAAATAATAACTCAGTAGAAGCATATGAGAATACTCTTGATACCTTGTTATTTACCAAAAAATACATACACTACACCCATAAGTAAACTTATGATCAACTGAATCCATTTAAATATTTATACCACCAAATGACCCCGGAGGTCACCCCTTTAAGACGAAAACATCACACAAACTATCATTTAATAACTAAAAAATCAATCACTATATTACCGTTGGTTCCATTGGGAAACCGAGCATTACCCAAAGCAATGTGACCTTTGAGAACCTGTACAAAATCCAAAAAATTAACAATTAAATTCTTCCAGAATATAGTTAGAAAAAGGAAAGACATATTATTACAACAATATCAGAAGATGATGAGTGGAGGCCGACCATTTTATCAACTTTGAAGCAAATGTGTAGAAGCCCAAAAATAACTATATAAGCAGATTTGTAACAAAATTAAACTAACTGCATACAAATATAGTCATTTTCAACCGAAAAAAAATAACCCACTTTCCAAACAACGCATATTTAACTAAAAGTTAACTTGGATTTGAGGCACCAAATATGTAGAAGTAACTTAAGAAAATTAAGAAGTGCCACATACCGCTGTATAACATGCTTTCTCATGTGCTGAAGGTTTTCCGAAGTGAACAGTTCGTGTTATATCAGTAGTTCCATCTAGATACTTCACAAGCACCAACACCATATCAGAGACAAAGTTAAAGTACATACACGATAGATTGAAATTGCATTGGCTATCCATAGTATGTTTACATGGATTAGAGTCAAAACTATTAAAATGGATGACACACCTGTGCTCCAGAATCAAATAGGTAGATGCTATTTGGATCAAGTTCAGCACATGTTTTTGCATTGGGTCCATAATGGATAATTGCTGCATTCGGACCAACTGATGAAATAGTAGGAAAACTCAACCCTCTAAAATGCTGCAAATGTAAAATGAAAAGAAACTAATCACGGGAAGCAAAATACGAGTTTGTCAACACTGGAAACCATTAAAATCTGGAAACCTTCTAAGAAACTGAAAATAAGATGAAAACGACAACATACAAAATGTTCACTTACTGTAAAAACACTACCTCTTTAGATGCGCGGAAACCTTCTAGCTTATCACTTGCAGACACTTCTGTTAGCTTCATAGTTTCCCTGCCAATAATTTATCAGTCAGTCCCCATCAATGAGTCATTTTGAGTACTGACACAACTTGCTTGCAGGATACAAAGCATTATCTCAATCGTTATATTGTATGCACAAAGAAAATATAGCCCACAATTTATGTCAAGTAGTCCACACTATTACCATTCAATGTGAACACATTTTATACTCCAAACACAATTTCTTAGAAGATAGTGATGTCTCCTCCTTGAATAAAAAGTTAATTCCACAAAAAGTAAAAGGGATGTGTGATCTGTAAGAACTGAACTCTTCGGTACAATAAACAAGTAAACACTAGCCAAAATACACGCATTGAAAAAGATAAACTAGCTCACGCTTTCTTCCTGTTTATGCACTCTGCCTCCTTAAAGTATCCAGAAGCCCCATAAATTTGCTGCATCTGCAAATTTGAAAAGAGGTATGTATCAAAGGTTCAACAAAGACATAACATAGCAAATTTCATAACAAGCATTGCCATATTAAAGATCTCTCATCATAGACCTTAAATATTAGGACTCATTTAAAACTGCACATCTCTCCACGAGTATGCGGTGCAATTTGACATCTATCTAAATGAAGGAGAACAATTCAAGAAGCCTTGTCAAATAAAAACTAAATTTTAATAAGACAGTTTGATTCTATGACTTCAGTGAGTCATTGAGATGAGAGAGACTCAGTATTGGTTTTCAGTAGTGATACTTCTACCTAATACCTATAAGATAGCTGATCCTACGTGACATCACACAAGCCTTGAAGATAGAGAGTGCATATGATCTTAAAGAAGATTGTGCCTATAAAGCTTTTTTTTCCTCCTTTCAGGTGAAGGTCAACAAAAAATAGTTTCTGGCTGTATGCACTGGTTCACACAAGTCAATATAACCTGGCAATCACATAAACAACTCTGAACTCCATTGCATAAGATGGGATAGTATAGAAACTTAAAGAAAGACTAGAATCTTAGAAACTAAAGAAACACTTCTCTAAGAATGCGCATCAAAACTCTTTTAAGTCTAATTCATACCTGCTTATCCAGCCAGGCAAGATACTGCACAACAGCAACACCATCCCGAATGTGTGCCTTCTTCAACCCATCCAACTCAACAGGGTTCTAGAGAATATTAAAGACTCAGTCACTGGGCAAGAAAAATTAGATAACAATAGCAAAATGTTTCTGGGCATATGATCATTAGCATACAAAATGACAATAGGATTTGGTTGGGATTATGAGTGAAATATCCAGGGCTAATCTCATGCATGAACTTAGTATGATCCCACATTATACTCTAGATATCCAAAGAAGGAAAAGATAAAGAAAAGATTCTTAAATGAGCAGAATCTGTTTAATGGAAAATAAAAACACTGCAGCACCCAATATGCATAAAAAGTGTGAAAATAGTTCTGTGTAAACAGGTATACAGGAATTCAGCAATGTTCTTTTCAGTCTTGAGTGACTTTCTTTCCAAATATAAACATGACGGTCTCTACTTAATATTCTAGAAAAAAGGGTCATTTTTCGTCTCTACAAGTTACAGCAGATCACATTAGTCCATCAGCTAGACTGCTGCAAATATCCGCCGATGGTAATTTCTTTCCATCACTGCTCTATCATTTGTTTGTCTTCCCCTACTCTTTTTGTTTGAACCAAATAATTATTTCAAATACAGGGAATTTACTGAAAGCTAGATTTTCATTTTAGCTCGAAGCAAGTATTTATTCAATGAAATAAAGTTTCTGGGAGCTTTAATCAGCCCAATTAGCAATAGATATGAATTATGGAAAAATATTCCTAGGCTTTGCCATATTTTCCTTTTTCAGGCTTTTAAACCTGGCAATATGTTTCTTACATACACATATGAGTGGTATATTCCAAGTCTTCCATTCACCTATAGGCTATAGTACCTCAATATTGAGATCTTTAGTAAAAACTTAATCTTTCACCAGGGAGAAACTTCTATTAAGGAATTGATGTTCAAGAGTGGATTTGTTATAGATAAAGAAGAGAACAAGCAGACTGGGTTGAAAATTTGGTTTATTCCACATCTAAAGTAAAAAATAGTAGTTCAAATCAAAACAAACAAAGGTTTCCAAAATTCAAATATTCCAAAACAGGAAATATTATGTTGAAACTAACTGTTGCATAATATAATGATGTCAAATAATGTTACCTGACTTTAAAAGCAGGGAAAATCATATTATGATAAACATAAGATAAATTTAGATATATTGGACTATGTTCAGCAACTAGAATACCATTAAAATCACAGGGAATTTTGGAACTATGGTATCGGACCCATTCCTGTAAACTCAATCTTGGCATTACAAGCCTTCTGTCATGAAGCCAACTACTGAAACTTCCAGTGAGAAGCAAATACGTTTTCAAGGTAGGAAGTGTATTATATTGTATGCACTACCTTGATAGCTTTTGCAAGGGCAAGAGGTGACTGCTGCAGGAGGACCTTATCAGAGTTTAGTTTTGAATACAAAGCAAAGCAGCATGCGCCAGGGTCAACCCATATTAGGTTATGACTACTATCTTCTGCTTCATTTGTACCATCTCTTGTTATCCCAGTCTCACAGGAATTAACGTACATGTCCTTTGGAACATCAGATTGAGTATGATATGCTGAAGAGGAAGTGAGCTGATCAGATGCCAACAACACCACATCTGAACTGACTACACCATAGTCCCGTACTTCAATTCCATTGTCCGCCATATAGGAGTTCACCTGCAAACAATAAACACTTCTTACTTGGGAGCAGAAGTCAACCCAATACAACCCCAGGAGAGAGTCAATTTAGCTAAAAACTGGATTCCGAAGAGAGTCGACTCAGATAAAAGCTGGTAATTTGCAGCTTAGCTTATGTTGAGAACTGATCCCTCCAAACATCAATTTGCTTCTGGTATCGACGAATAAGACTAGATGTCAACCGAAAACCTTATCTAGAAACAGCAGCCATATGATAAAGACACTAACCTCAGAAGACAACTTTCTTTTGTCAACATAAAAGAAAGCCGATTTCGAAGTAAGTATAGCAAATGCATGAACAACCGGAGAATAAGACACATCACTCCCGCGAATATTATACAACCAAGCAACCTGCATAGAAGCAATCATACAAATATCTTCAGTAAATGTTAGATAAAGACAAGTATGGAAGGAGTTCAGCAAACAAACAAATTTAGTAATCTCAACACAACCCAAACTGCAAGCAATGTGAGACAATCAGCTGGGTGGTATAAAGTTACCTCATCAAGGGCCGTGATTATAATACCACGAGCTTTCTCCTTAACGAGCTTTTCTCTCAAATCTTCCAACTTTTCTGCAATGGAACGGCCAGTAAATTCTAAGGGATGTACAATAACAGGATTGATTTCAGCTGAAGGCCGATTTTTCCAAACTTCATCAACCAGGTTTGTGGATGTCTGCACCAATTGTTGTTGTTTTTGGGTAAAAGCACGCCCCCATCTATGTGCAGTGTCCACTGATATGCACCAAGGATCAACACCAACAGCTGCATCTTTTGGCAGATTCTAAAGCAGCACATAACTAACAAAAATCAATAATTCTTTCAATTAACAAAACTCAAATTTAATGAATCTTTCTAAGCATGATCATAATTGTAGTAATCCTAAAAGTTCTTGTTGTCAACTATAAAAACTCTCACTTGTAGTTCTTCTCCAATTGTAGAAAAATATTTTCATAGTGAGTTCAACAACAAAAGACAAAAGGAAATTAGGAGCAAAAAAAAAAAGATCCTGAGCCAGTGGAGCTTCCTGGTAACTCTTATTTCCCATGTTTGCTTCTAACACAATACAAACAGAAGATATCAATCCAAATGANTATATTGTATGCACTACCTTGATAGCTTTTGCAAGGGCAAGAGGTGACTGCTGCAGGAGGACCTTATCAGAGTTTAGTTTTGAATACAAAGCAAAGCAGCATGCGCCAGGGTCAACCCATATTAGGTTATGACTACTATCTTCTGCTTCATTTGTACCATCTCTTGTTATCCCAGTCTCACAGGAATTAACGTACATGTCCTTTGGAACATCAGATTGAGTATGATATGCTGAAGAGGAAGTGAGCTGATCAGATGCCAACAACACCACATCTGAACTGACTACACCATAGTCCCGTACTTCAATTCCATTGTCCGCCATATAGGAGTTCACCTGCAAACAATAAACACTTCTTACTTGGGAGCAGAAGTCAACCCAATACAACCCCAGGAGAGAGTCAATTTAGCTAAAAACTGGATTCCGAAGAGAGTCGACTCAGATAAAAGCTGGTAATTTGCAGCTTAGCTTATGTTGAGAACTGATCCCTCCAAACATCAATTTGCTTCTGGTATCGACGAATAAGACTAGATGTCAACCGAAAACCTTATCTAGAAACAGCAGCCATATGATAAAGACACTAACCTCAGAAGACAACTTTCTTTTGTCAACATAAAAGAAAGCCGATTTCGAAGTAAGTATAGCAAATGCATGAACAACCGGAGAATAAGACACATCACTCCCGCGAATATTATACAACCAAGCAACCTGCATAGAAGCAATCATACAAATATCTTCAGTAAATGTTAGATAAAGACAAGTATGGAAGGAGTTCAGCAAACAAACAAATTTAGTAATCTCAACACAACCCAAACTGCAAGCAATGTGAGACAATCAGCTGGGTGGTATAAAGTTACCTCATCAAGGGCCGTGATTATAATACCACGAGCTTTCTCCTTAACGAGCTTTTCTCTCAAATCTTCCAACTTTTCTGCAATGGAACGGCCAGTAAATTCTAAGGGATGTACAATAACAGGATTGATTTCAGCTGAAGGCCGATTTTTCCAAACTTCATCAACCAGGTTTGTGGATGTCTGCACCAATTGTTGTTGTTTTTGGGTAAAAGCACGCCCCCATCTATGTGCAGTGTCCACTGATATGCACCAAGGATCAACACCAACAGCTGCATCTTTTGGCAGATTCTAAAGCAGCACATAACTAACAAAAATCAATAATTCTTTCAATTAACAAAACTCAAATTTAATGAATCTTTCTAAGCATGATCATAATTGTAGTAATCCTAAAAGTTCTTGTTGTCAACTATAAAAACTCTCACTTGTAGTTCTTCTCCAATTGTAGAAAAATATTTTCATAGTGAGTTCAACAACAAAAGACAAAAGGAAATTAGGAGCAAAAAAAAAAAGATCCTGAGCCAGTGGAGCTTCCTGGTAACTCTTATTTCCCATGTTTGCTTCTAACACAATACAAACAGAAGATATCAATCCAAATGACCAACTCCATAGATTCTTGGAAAAATAATAATATTGCGACCTAATTTGCTGACCTAATCTCTAGCTGCCCTTGGATTGGTAGTGAATCACAACCAATGTTGGCGTCCACTCTCAATCTAATATCAGTAAATTATTAGGTCAATAAACAAACTCTCTTTACTTGCAATGGTGTATTCTTTGCAAGAACGATGTGGAATGCACGAACCATTTGTTCTTACATTGCTCCTTTGTCACCACACTATGCAATGGTCTTTTAGCAATAGTTGGAATACCTTGGGTGATTCCAAGAAGCTGTGACTTGGTATTTATTAATGAACACAAGGGTTTTGGTTTTAGCAATGACGCCAAGGTTTTAAGGAATAGTGCGGCATTGGCTTTGTTTTGGGTAGGTATGGTTGAAAAGGAATGACAGGATCTTCGATGATAAAGAGTCCCCTTTGGAAGAATTATGGGATAAAATAACTTTCTTGGCTTCTCTTGGAGCTTCAAAGTCGAAGGATTTTGAAGGAATCTCGCTATTTTTTATTAAAGATCATTGGGCTCAAGCGTGTGAATAGTGTTGATGAACGGCTTTCTATTTCTTTGGACTGCATTCATTTACTTTGATTTTCAATTTCTCTGTATTTTGGTTTTTGTCTCTCTTAGAGGAATCCTCCCATGAACTTCTTCTGGTAAATCTAATACAATCTTGTTTCCCGTGAAAAAAAATTGTGATAAATTAGTTCAATAAATTAGGTCCAAGTAGTATATCTCTTATGGGCAACCATCATATCTAGCCCACATAATTGAAAGGAAATAAATACACATGAAAAATGAAGTGTCCTAAATTTCACATTGTCTAATTTGCTTCATGGAAAATAAGATGTTACTCGCCTAGGTTCAATGGATGGATTTGCACTGGTAAAATTACCATATTAGTTAGAAACCAAATATTTCATGTAGGCTTAGTCAATGTTGTTGTTGATTGAACTTATGAAGAGTTCTTTTAATTTTACGTCCAGGTCTATAGAATCAACACAATAACCACTCAATGAAAGAAGAAAGAATCGATCAGAGAAAACATTTATAAGGCTCAGTTGCAACAAGGACATTAGTATCCAATTTTGAGAAGTTCTATCCGCGTTCTATCCGCAGTCCACTGTAATGCGGAGTTTATCAACAATGGCCGAATTAAAAGCTTCTTTGCAGAGGATCGTAGGTCGGGAGGCATAACCCGATGATTGTTCGTAAGTGTTTTAACCAAAATGAACAGTTTCACAGCACAATATCAACAATAGAAAAAAGTAAGATTACATAGTCCTTTGAACGACATGTATGCTTACTCAGTGACTCAACTCAACACATACATGGAAACTGCTTATGTTTAACCATTATTATACAACACATCTATTATAGCGAAGCACTCACAAGCCATATGTACCTCCACATAAGCCTTTGTGCCCACTTGTACTGTCATTTTTTCCGATGTATTTGCATCAGCATATGGAGGAATAACTGATGTCCAAAGATTTTTATGCATATCTCCCTCATTTCATGCATCACATTTTTCTAACAAAACTAAAAAAATTCAAGTAACACAAAGAACGTCTCAATGATATTCCATGCCAAACTCATACAGCTAATGCTTGGGCAGGCATCCAGAAAACATGCAACTGGGTACATTTCACCAAGACAGACCCCGACCATGGGTATGGTACATGCAACTTAGTACCTCCTCTATGCGGACCACTCAAGGTAACTGCTTGTGGTTAATTATAAGTAATAATGACCATTTATGTCAGCAAAGAAGTATATAAAACTTACACATGGATATAGTACCCATGTACAATTTAAAAAGAAAAGCAGTCATTTGTATGATAAAATAAATCACGACATAATTAAAAATATAACAACATTAACCAGCTCTTAATATTAGTAAGCACATATCTTGGGAAATTCCAAATGAACAAGACTCACATCTGCCATCCAGGTATCTACAGCTGGGTCTTCTCCCATACGCATGAGCTTCCACTGGTCACTAAGCTCCTGGGTTGCTTGCAAGAAGTACCGCCCATCAGTCCACAGCAGTGCTTCATTCATTGTGATTAGTGCCAACCCTAAATGGAACCCAAATAACACTTGATTGATATTTCTATATCCACACTAAACAAATAAAAGCAAAAAATAAAAAACCACTATAGATACATCTAGAACACTGAACACGCAGTGAAAACCAACCAATCACATCGCCTGTCAAACAAATAGCATTTGTGTAATAAGGTAGTCTGATCTGACCTCTAGGACAAGTTATCCGGGAAAAAAAACCCCTAGGACATGTTCACTTTCAGGAAATATTTAAAGCTTTTACTGATCACAAACAAAAAGGTCTAGTGTTGATAGAGTAGGTAATACAGGGTTAAAGTCCATCCAAAGACATGGGAATGCTACACGACCAATATCATATTGGATTTGGGACAGCCTATGAAGTCTAAATAACGTAACCCATGGTAATAAGCAAACTCTTTTCAACTCAATGTCATTGGTAAAAGGTGCAAAAGGGTGAAATAAGAATGAACTAACCAGCGCTTCCAGTGAATCCGGATACGAATGCCCTCCTTTTGTCCCGTGCAGATACATACTCACTCTGCCACATCGTCAATCAAATTAAAGACCTCATATCAATCCCAAGATCACAGACAGGGAAACTCGAAAAACGACAAATAATTAAAGTTGTAATCAACTAAATAGTACGAAATACATCGGCAAAAATTAAAACAATTCGGTCTAGGAGTACAATACTAGGGCTGAAATCAAGTATTAATTGACAAAACCTCATACACAAAGCTCCAACAGAATAGTATATAAGAGAGAGAGAGAGAGAGAGAGGACCTGATGATAATCTTCGGAAGGGACGACCAAGGCATCGAGAGATGGAGAGTGAGAGGCCATCAAAGATCTGAGAGCAGCTAGAGTGTCCGCCATTCTCTCTCCGTGTGTGTTTCACGCTTAGAGTTTTCCTTTCTGTAACTACGGAGGAGTTAGACCTTTGCTTGCTTATATACATATGAGAGAGAGAGAGAGAGAGAGAGAGAGAGAGAGAGATGTTTCGTATGACTTTTTGTGTTTTTATTGGAGAGCAGCGAAGTAAAGGAATCGTACTCCTAAGACTCTTTCCATTGGAGATGGGCATGCTGTTTAGATTTTAACAAATCAAATCTAATTTTAATTCTAATTCTAATTCTAATTCGATCCAATAATCTACTCTGATAAATAAGATTTTAATAAATTAAAACTAATTTTAAATATTATTTTATCAAATAATTACCTAATTTCATTATATCTCTATATACATGTAAATGTATATTTTCAATATAAAAAAAAATAAAAATAACCTTACAGCAGAATTCTTTTGCTTTTTCCAATATTATTTGCGCTGATAAAATGGTAAGTTTGGGAGGGCTACAGCAAGATTCTTTTGCTTTTTTTTTAATGTCTCATCGCCTGTGTTGGGATAATTTCTTTTTAACGATCTGTCATGTATTTCTTTTGCTAGAGGGTTTAAATAACCCTGTTATTTTTTCCTATATACCAAAAAATTAAATAAATAAATAAAAATAAAAAAATGTATATTTTGAATTAGATTACAATCGTACCGGAGCTAAGTCTAATTTCATTAACCATTATATAACTGATTCGAATTTAGATTATCGTTGAAAAAATATTATTTTATATCCAGTTATAACATTTAAATTCAAATTAAATTAAATTTAAAATCTACACCTATAGATAATGTGGGGTACTAATAAATCGAGTATTGTGTTAATATCAAATCCTAAAAGTTTAAAAAGCCTTTAAAATTTAACAGAGAGATTTGAAAAAAAAACACATGATCAAACTTAAGTTGTCCATATCATTTTACCTATCCTATCCTATCTGCCAAAAAAAAGGAGAAAATAAACTATTTATCCTGCGCTGCGTTGTTTTCAAGTGTAAGAATAAGTTGCATACGACTTAGTCCTAGGAATAAATACCAAAATTCCACCAAGTGATATAGCCCAGTGTTATCTTCAGGAATAAGACTATAAGAACCTATTCTTCCTGCAGTGCGTTGTTTTCAAGTGTGAGAATAAGTTGCATACGACTTAGTCCTAGGAATAAATACCAAAATTCCACCAAGTGATATAGCCAGTGTTATCTTCAGGAATAAGACTATAAGAACCTATTCTTATCAGGGGTGGCTTGACGCTATTAAAAAAAAAAAAATTCAATTTTAGGGCTCCTATTTTTAAAAAATCTTATAAAGGTACATTATTAATTCAAATAAAATTTAAATCCATTAAATTTGAAACCCTAAAAAAAAATCCCAAAAAATTAAATACAATCAAAACTTTTATTGTCATAATTTGGGTTCATGATTCAATCCATAGCATTAAAAACCTAAAAATCATAAGTTCAAAAAATAAAAAATATTTAAAAATCAACTCATATTTACCCTTACCCACTCTCTATTTGTGTAAAAATAAGTAAAAAATATAAATAAAAAAAATTAAAATTAAAATCACTCTAGTTAAAAAACAAAAACAAAAGTTAAAATATTTTTCTCGGTAACACTAGTACGTCTTTCTTCTGTCCCTCTCTCTCACATAATAAATTAAAAATAAATTATTTTTTTTTAAAAAAAAATATTAAAAAAAAAATATAAATATATATATATATATATTATTCAGTGTTATCAATTTAGGCCTCAAATTGCCTTAAGCAACCCCCGAAGCTTATGTGATTTCTGAAACTATAGCCCATCTTGAATCATCAGCCTTCTGTTTTGGATTCATACCATTTTTAATTTGTCTTTTTTTTTTTGGGTAAATTTCATAATTAGTCCCTAAACTTTGACTTTGGCTTCAATTTGGTTCCTAAACTTTCAATTGTCTCAATTTAGTTCTTCAACTATCAATTTCGTCTCAGTTGAGTCATTTCGTCAATTTCCTCAATTAGATCAAAAAGAAACACTAACAATGGAAATTGATCTCCATTTGATCTAACGGTAAAATTGGACGAAAGGATTCAATTGAGATAAAATTCATAATTGAGGTACTAAATTGAGATAATTGAAAGTTGAAGAATATAATTAAAACCAAATACAAAATTCAGAGACCAATTACAATTTTTACCTTTTCTTTTTTTTTTTTTTTTTTTTTTTTTTTTTTTTTAACGGAGAAAGCTACTACGTGGGACAACCTTGTGGCCTCTCACGATAGTTCTGATCACTGAAGCTGCAATTAAGACAAGTGAATACCCTGGTTAGGAATGACATCCCAGCTGCAACCAAAGTTCCTCACTAAAACCAGAGGCTCGGTCCCCATCACAGGTTAAAATTAGCAAACAACACAAGAGGAAGGCAACAGAAGAAGAGCATGTCAGCATTAATTTTAAAAGGCAGACTAAACTGCCGATGCCCGACTAAAAACTATAATTTTTTAAGGTTAAATTATAATTTTTTTGGGGTATGAGTTATAACTACAAAAAAACATAATCGATCTCAAAATATTATGATCTATTATAGAAGCTACAACTTTTAAAAGTCAAACTGCATTAATTATTAATGATTGGTCAACTTGAATTTTAAAAATAATAACTTTTTGGCATGGTAACAAAAAATTTTTAGGCACCATAGGACTATCCTGATATGCATTCAACAATTGAGAACACAAAGGATCTTCATTGTCCAACCACAAGAGGAGAAATGACAATATATACCAATCACCAGACATAAATTTTGAAACAATGAACAGAAGAAACTCATTAATGCGGATTTTAAGTGGGCTAAATATGCAAGATTCGTACCACAACATCAAGCCTGAGCAAGCCTCTTCACTACTTCAGCGATACACTTGCCTTGATGCTCAGCAAGGGCCAGCTCCATTTCACTCGGCTCTCTTGTGCCATCACCAGCAAAGACTCCAGCACCATATGGAGAGCCCCCTCGAATGTTGTCCATTTTGAACATACCGGCTCCAAAGGTGTACCCAATTGGAACAAATAGCATTCCATGATGAGCTAGCTGGGTGATTGCAGTCCAACTGCAGCACAAATGCAAGGAATACAGTGAGATGAGAACTACTGAAATTCTTTCTAGAACAAAAGCATCTAATATCACCACATCGGACTGAGTCCTTAGTCATTGCCACTGCAACAATAAGCTGGTGCAAATACAAACAAATATAAAATTTAAGAATAAGGAAACCCATTGTCAGAAGTTGCCATCACAGACCATTCCAAATTTTAAGAGAATCACATCAAGGACACATGAACAGGTATGGAAATGAACAAAAAAAAACAAGTATGGAAATGACTGAACCTCAGGATATTCCAAATTAGAGGTCATCAAAAGCCAAATTCATATAAACCTAATGAACAGAACGCTGCCACCTCATAATTTCAAGATCAGGTTGATGGGCATTAAACAAGCCTGATTAGTTCGTAACAAACATGTCAAATGAATTTTAAGAGGAAATTTGCAGTCAATTTTTTTTGGTAATACAAAGATCAAAACTTCTCATGCTAATGAATGTGACTGGCACATTATCCAAGTGTCTCAAACCAACAAAAGGCCGAGGAGAAAAATACAAGTAGAAACGGATGGTAGAAAAATACACACTCCCAAAAGGCCAAAACCCTTCAATTTGAGGAACTTAATATGTTTCACCCCGTGTCAGTATCTGAAAAGAAAATTTTTACCTTTTCTTTTTTCTCAATCAAATACACGAGGCATGCGCAATATCAACAAAACAGAAAAACAATTGACTTCTTCAATAAACTATTCCAAAAAGAATTAACAAATCATGAATACAAATGGAGGAGCTCCATTAGAGGAGTAAAAAGGATTAAAATATAAAGGAAGCTCATGACCAATTGTTTGGTGTCCAAAATCCTTTCCTTTAAAAGGGCACCTATTTTTTTGTCGCCGAATGCACCAACATAGACACAAATGCTCGCTCACCAAACGGTCACCCGTGAATCTAAACAGTAGAAAGAGGAGGGTCCACAATCCCCTCATGCTGGAGCAATAATAAATGATTAACATTGATCCAACTTATATCAAAAAAACAATTTCTTCTGGTCTCATGTCCATGGGGCAAGAATTACAGATAACTTTATCCTTTCACTGACTTGTCAGTTCTTACTAATCTATATTTTCTCCATGAGTGTTATCCAACCGAAACTTCCACTTCATAGGACACTTCGTAACCCCAAATAACCAGCCAAGGAAACCAGGATGGCATCTCATTGCTCAAAACTCTATGGGGTTATCTTAGAAGAATTTGTGTCAAAAGCTCATGTCACAAAAATCATTCTGCTGCAGCCATGGTGCGCATGCAGATAACACCTTCAACTTCATGTGAAAAGCACTACAAGCTCTTCTTCTCAACCTGTTCAATTGGAGCTAGCTATAGAGCGCACTTTTTCTATGCTTTATTTACTTACTATAGAGGTTTGGAACCCTCAACAACTTTGACCCTACCTACCAGACCACTAAGAGTATCAGATTGACCAAAAATAGCTTATAAATTGAACTTTTCATTTTACATCCTCTACCAGAGGTTGAGGCAATATTCTTGTAATGTCTTATGGTGATCAATGACATAAGACATTAAACCATCTTCCGCACTTAAAAATATTTTTCCGCACATAACATACCATCTTCTGACATAAGACCTTTAACAAGAAGTCAAACATCAAACCTTCTTCTGCACTTAACATTTTTCCTTTCCAATCCTGCATAGATTGCCCATGGATCTCAAGTTGACTGATCTCAAATTAAAGTAGAGTACACTTAAAATGACGGATACCACTATTACCTTCTGGGAGGAAAACTAGACCGTCAACCAATTTGGCACATTACAACAGATACTATTTCTGCTTCAAAACAACCACAGTAGTGGAAATTGGAAAATAAAGTTACTTGTTTACTTTTGGTATGAAATAGTATTACATATTTTCAAGATAAACTACACAATCTTTTGATCAATGATCAAATTTCTCTCAACCCATAACATGCCCACATCTCAATTTCTGACTTCACCCTTCGCTTATAGAATGGGTTACATTTTGCAACCAATTAAACCTTGGTTTTGTTACTAATCAGCTATATAGTAGACCTGGACATTGGACATAGATATGACACAATATAAACACACGAAACACTAAAAAATTCTAGAAAACAAAGAATAAATCCTACAAGGACATTGCAGCACACAAATAGAGATTACAGTAGTCTGTTAGTATAGATAACAGCACACAAATATATACATATATATATATATATATATATATATCTTTTGAATGAGTTAAATATATACTCTATTAAAATCATGCAGATTACAGTAATTTATTCAGGAAAAATTTAGACTCTATCCCATTACTTCGGAGGAAAATGATATATGTCAAACAGAAGATGGAGTTCTTCTTTATAAATTGTCACAAAATTCTACCAAGGTTTGAGTTGAAAAAAAGAGTATGGCTACAGCACCACCTCAACTGACACCTTACTCTAATATGTGTAATCTAGATTTTTGCCTTTCATGCTCTCTCTACTTATGAACAACCACTACTTCCCCAAAAACCACTAGAATGATGAGAACTCCTTCAGATGTGCAATATTTTCCAATCCAAAAGTAACATAGTAACACACTTATTTTAATTCAGAGAGCAGGGTCTCCAAGTGTTGTATTATTTTCATAACAAATATTGCCAACTCTGTCATGTAAGGACACCTATCAAGAAAATCATAATTTGCATGTTCACCAGTAATGGCGCCTTCGGAGATGATAGTCTTTATTCCTTAATTGACAATTTGTGGAGAATAAAGGGGATGTGCGTCTAATATTCAATGACATTCATACATTGCTATAAATAACAATTCAGACATTTTAGTATAAGTGAACATAATTGCAATGCAATTAGATTCAGAACATAGTCTCAATTATTGAACTATCTAACTATAAAATCCAACGAATCAAAACAATAAATCTCTTGGTGGGTGCATTACAAAACCGATAATTCATTATTATTATTGTGAAATACACCAACAAGTAATTTACTTCTCAATCAAAGTTATACCCAATTCAATACCATTTCCGCCACAAAAAAATTGATAATTCAGTAGTAAACGAAACAGTAGAGCTTACGCAGTGGTCTCTTGTCCTCCTCCTTGCGTCCCAGTACTAACAAAAAACCCCGCAGGCTTCCCCGCAAGGCTCTGCTCCTTCCACAACTGCCCCGTCGAATCGAAAAACGCCTTCATTTGCGCCGCCATACACCCATACCTGGTCGGAAACCCAAACAAAAACCCATCGGCCTCCAACAACTCCGCCGCGGAACCCATCTCCGGAATATCATCGTCCTTACGTGGGGCCCGCATTTGCTTCAGCACCTCCTCCGACAACGTCTCCGGCACGCGGTACAGCACCGCCTCGACTCCGTCGACGCCGTCCACTCCTTTTTTCATCCTACGCGCTAAACACTCGACGTGGCCATACATGGAGTAAAACACAATGAAGATTCTGAGCTTTGAAATGGGTTCTGAGTGGGTAGTGGATTCAACGGCGACGTTGGGTTGGGTGGTGGGAGTGGCGTTGTTTTCTAGTGGAATCGAAGCGTCGCCGGCGACGACTCTGGGGAGTTTTTTCTTGCTTGGGACACAGCCACCGCCTTTGCCCATTGAAATTGGCCAATTGAGAAAGTTGATTCAGAGATGCCAAGTTGAGAGAGTAATTGATTGAAGTGAGTGTTCAATTAATGGAAGCTAGGAGGAGACGAAGAGTTGTTGATGTTTTGCGTCTATGGATGCGAAAATATATATAACAATAATAGGATCCAAAGCTTAGCATGCGTACTGACTGCTGAGCATGACCGCTCGACTCTGGGGGATATCTAGCGGTTACGACTCGACAGGAAAGTTCCAATTTTTTTTTTTTTTTAAAGTCACTCAGTAGTGTAAATGAGTGTATTCACACGACTAATAAATAAATAAGATAAATGATACAAATTGTTTAATATTAATTATATATTTATATAATAAAATATAATATAATTTAAATTTTAAAAGATAAACAAAGTGATTTTTATTTTTTACAGTTGAGATCTATTTAAATTTTATTTTAAAATTAATTTGACTATTAATATTTACACCCAAAATTTAATAAAAAAAAATAAGCCCCTAAATATGCATTTAGGATAACTTTTTAAGCCACCATCCCTACTACCATCATCCTCACCACTACCGTTGTTGTCCCGCCATCACCCTTACCACCACCACCCCCATCGCCCATTACCATCACCACTATCACCATCGTCACCGCTATCCCTACACTGTCTTATCGTTGCCACTATCATTGTCATCTCATTTTTATATTTATTATCATTACCACCATCATCTCATGACTATCGTTGCCAACTACCACCTGTCGTTAACAATCATTATCGCCCACGCCCACCACACCTACCACTACCAACCTTCACCGTCCACTACTGTCGTCATCCACTGTCACTCACCCCCCTACCACACCTACCATCACTGTCATTTGCCATCACCCATCATACTATCGCCCAAAAACATCCGTTGTCGCCCCACTACGACAACCGACAACAACCATCACTGTCGCCCACCATCATAATCGTAGTCACCTATGGTTATCATTACTACTATCACCGTTGCTACCCATAGCTACCCACCACCATCACTGTTGTCACTCATGGCTATCACCACACACCATCACCGTCTCCTACCACTATCATTGCCACCCATCACCTCTTTCCCATGATAATCGATACTTAAATTCATTTATCTCTCATTTATATTTGTAATTTGATTTTGAATATGAATACAAATATATTTATTATTGACTATTTTTTTTTATTTCTTTGTATTTTCAGGCACAAACAATAACTAATATATTATTTATATATGATATAAAATAATTTGTTAGACATAAATTAATAAATAAATTAAATAGAAATAAAAAAAAATTTTGATATGAATTTATTAAAATCTATCATGAACCCGACATTTGCATGTCATGTAAATAAGTCTAAAGTCAATGACACTCCTGGTTTTTTCTAAAATGTGACTGTAATTTCTTCTAATTTATTTGTTCACTTCATTCAAATGTCCTACCGTAATTTATCGTGATTGATAATCTAAAAAGTGCTTATGTCATTCAAATATTTTGGTTAAATACCAAAATTACCTTTCTTCTACCCCCGACAAACTCTTCTCCACATGTCTCCAAGCTTTCCTCCCACCCACGCACCCAAGCATGTAGACTTAAAGTTGCCATCATTATTATCCAAACAAAATTCGAACCATATGTATAATAAAAGTTGAATTTTATTTCTTATATATTTTTCTCTTTAATTTTATCGTATCATCTATCTTATCACATGCTTAATTTATTTAATATTTAATTAATTTAAAATTTAATATAATTTTTATTTCAGATATTATTTATATACAATAGTACACACATGTTAAAATTTTTTTATTGAATTTCGTATTTTGAAAAAAATTTGTCGATATTTTAAAGAAAATAAAAGGTAAAAATAAATTTCAAATGATATAATCAAATAAATGAAGAGAAAAAATTGTTATTTAATATAAGGGGATCGATTTTTTGGCCGCCCAAATTTTATATTTCTTCGTGTCTTCAGGCACGGGATATTACTAGTATTATTATATACATGTAGTTATTATATTAAATTTTATGGTCAAATATATGTCATATTTAATAGTTTTAAAATGCAACAATATCATAATATTATAAGACAGATAATAATATTATAATTTAATCAATCTCTTTAATAAATTTATAAATTTATAATATAATTAGATGTATAAATACTCAAGAATAACGATCTTAGACTAAAGTTCCATTATAAACAAAAGATAAAATGTTTAAACGAGCTAGAGAGATGCCTAAAAAAATGAAAAATTAGGTAGGGTAAATAAGATCAATAATTAAAATAAAAATTATTTATTGGACACATACTTTATTATTCAATTTAATTATGTATATAATTTAAATTTTTATAAAAAATATTATTATTTAAATATATTCATCTACAATGCACATCATGCATTACTAATGTGTTTCAAATAGTTAATATATAAATTTATTAGAATAGTTAATATGTAAATTTGTAGAATGGTTAATGATAAATTGGTAAAATAAACAGTTTTGTTAATTCTGTTACTAGACAAACACTGTCAATAAAATTTCAAAAAAAAGTAAGGGGTGTTGTTGAAATTAGGCCTATCTACAAGGAGTGTAAATAAAAGTTACCTTTAATAATATTATTTTAATTAATTTGTTGGTCTAATCTATTATAATTATTATATTAATAGCATGTTTCAAAAGAAATTGACGCATGTTGTCAATTCAACGATTATAAGTGATTAGATCAATAAAATAAATATAAATAACATTATTCATAAAATTTTTGGTGTAAGAGGTCGCATGCACCTTTTTGTCATCCTTGTTTTGTTTAGGGAATGTTATTAGGACTTAAAAATGTAACTCATTTAACTTAATAACATGATATCTAATATGAATAACATGATATTTAATTGGTACTATATCATTTGATATTATCGATCAATAAATTAATTTTAAATTTTAAATCAATAAATATTAGTCTTTTTTTTTTTTTTCTAAATCTTGTCATTGACTCCAAATCTTAGGATTCTCACAAATTATTTTTAACTTGTGTACATCTTGGTTTTGCTTTTTAAGTCATTAGTAATGCACGATTTGCATTGCAAGTAAATCATTTAAATAATAATTTTTTTCTTTAATTTATAAAAATATAAATTTTATGTGTAACTAAATTAAATGATAAATTTGGTATAAAAAATTTAATCTGTATTTTATTTCATGTTATTTGATCTTAGAATTCAATTTAATAACTATATGTTCATTATCTAATATAGATTCGTCATTGCTTTTTAACATAACTATACGCATAAATATAATTTTTTTTTATGTAAGTGTACTACTTATAAAGGATTCCAAAAGAATTTAGAAGTCAAATATATATAATAAATATATAAATAATAAAATATGACTAATTTTGAATCATTAAATTAGCCAATCACAATAGTGCTTGAGATTTATTCAATCCAATGGTTCAAACTCATCCCCAAAAAATTCCCCCCCTCCCCCCACCCCAAAAAAAAATAAAATTGAAAACCTAAGTGTACTACTTATAAAGAAGTCTAAAATAATTTATAAGTCAAATACTATCTATAAAAGAGTTCAAAAGAACTTGAATGTCGAACTTGAATGTCAAATTACGTATAAAAATAAAAATTATATAAAGCTAGAAGGATGTAATTAACTTTATAAAAATTAGGCTAATAACGCACAACATGTGCTGGACGTAAACATATTTAAAGAATATTTTTTTGTTAAATTCATAAAAAATATAGATTATATGTATTATTGAATTGAATAAATAAATTATTTGTTGAAGAATTAATTCTTATTTTAATTTTTACTAAAACTAGTTATAAATTTATACATATATTATAGAGTAACTTGAGTTATTAGAGTTGCTATTATAATTAAAAACCTAAAGCTATAAGAATAAGTAGAGAGAATGACTAGAGACCTAATGCTATATGATAAGAAGAGTTTTAATATGACATGAATAAAAGACGACATTAATAAATATATGCAGAGTATGATTGACTTAATATTATTAAATAAGAATAAAATAGGATATCAAAATTTTTCATGCATGCTGATATTTATATATATATACATGTATGTGTGTGTGATTAAAAGTGGATTGAAATGCTTATCCATTTACAATCAAAGAAGCAAAAAGAGTTTTTTTTGGTTAAAACTTATTTAAAAATTAATATTGTTACTAAGTGGTGGGGGTGAGAGGGGGGAAAAACGATGGAGAAAGAATACAGAAAAATATCTGGGCCGCAAGTCTTAGATCTTTGGGTAATTTAGAAGTCGGTACAATTTTTTAAATTTATTTGAGTAAAAATACAACTCAAAAACTTATTTTAGGTAAAATGCATATTTTTTTAAAATACCACTATTGCCGATGGAAACTCATCATCTTCCATTCGTTTTTTTTTTTTTTTACTAAAATCAAGTTGGAAGTAAAATAGGAGGTTTAATTATCAAAACTCATCTTCTTCCACATAAGGATTGAAATGCCAGAACTGTGATTTTTCATCGTCCAAAAAAAAGAGCAACCCAAGTTACTTTTCATCGTCCAAAAAAATGAGGAAGACGAGTTACTATCCATCGTAAAAAAAAAGGAAGAATTCAAATTACTGTTCATCGTTAAAAAAAAGAAGAATACGAGTTACTGTTCATCGTGTCCTACGACCAAGTAACTGTGAATCATCTTTGGCAACTTCTTCACCAGAAATTGTAGGTGACATTCATTTTTTTTTTTTGCCATTCATTAATTTTTTTTTTCACAATCTGTGTTGTTTGATTTTTTTAATTAAAAATAATTACGTAACTGTTTTAAATAACTATTTGTGATCACAAATTGGAAGAAAAAGATAAAACAAAAAATAGTTAAAATATACAAGATCTACCTAAATAAATATTGACTGAAAAATTACATACAAGAACAATTACACTAAAACGTAATTCTGATTAAAAAATAATTACACCCATTAAAAACCAAAACAATTTTTTTTTTCCCGTTCATCCGAACAACGAACAACATAAAACAATTTTTACTTCATAATATGAGGATAAAATAAATTAATTAACAAACAG